AGTCTTCAATCTGCTTTGCACCAGGCAACATTTTCTTTCTTTTTTGTTAAACCTCCCCCGTTTTTTCTTAATTGATTTTGAGAGAGAGAGTGGAAGGGAGAGGGAGGGAGGGAGAGAGAGAGAGAGAGAGAAACATCAATTGGCCACCTCCTGCATGCCCCATGCTGGGGATTGAGCCTGCAGCCTGGGCATGTGCTCTGACTGGGAATCAAACCAGTGACCTCTTGATGCATGGGATGCTCAACCAACTGAGCCACACTGGCTGGGTCCTCAGGCATAATTTTAAGGTCTGGGATATAGGATGGAAAACAGTATGGAGTGAGGGCTATACACTGCACTGTGGCTGCCCCACAAGCCCTCCCCACCCAACCCCCAGGATGCCAGTAGCCAGGCATTTATCAATGCCACTTTCCCTCCCTGGGAAAATAGAAAAGTCTCTGGAGGCCCTGAGGACCCCAGAAGGAAAAAACGAAAACCTCCACTGACTGACATTTTTTAGTTCCTCAGTGAAGACTAATCTTGCCTAATAAAGAAATTTCTAAAAATCGAAGGTCACAGCACCTGATTAAAAGAGCCCACCGAGGGCCTCGCATAATAAATGTAAAGATCTGCACCAAGGCCTATCATCATACAATTTCAGAAGAGGTTTTAAAAGCATCAAAAGTGAAAAAGCAGCCCTATCTGGTTTGGTTCAATGGATAGAGCGTCAGCCTGCGGACTGAAGGGTCCTGGGTTCGATTCTGGCCAAGAGCACATGCCGGGGTTGTGGATTCAATTCCCAATGAGGAGTGTGCAGGAAGGCAGCCGATCAATGATTCTCTCTCATCATTGATGTTTCAATCTCTCTCTCCCTCTCCCTTCCTCTCTCTGAAATCAATAAAAATATATTTTTTAAAAAAAGAAATGCCATAATTAAAAAAAAACAAACAGCATGAAAAAACAATCCAGAGACATAGGCACAGGAATCAGAATGAAGTCAGACTTCTCAACAGCAATACTGGGGAGGTTAAGTCCCAGGGAAGCTTATTTCACATATACAGTGGGGCCTTGACTTACGAGTGGCCCACTAACGAGTTTTTCAAGATACGAGCCATCTCTCGGCCGATTTTTTGCTTTGAGTTGCGAGCTAAAATTCGGGTTACGAGCCAGCTTCAGATACCCCACCGCTAGTTGGCGCAGTGAACGTCACAGTGAACACCACAACATCAGCCCAGCATTCAATGCATTGTAATGGTGAAAATTGATTTGACATACGAGTAATTTGAGTTACGAGCTCCTTCACGGAACGAATTAAACTCATAAATCAAGACCCCACTGTATATTTCATATATATACTAGAGACCCGGTGCACAGATTCGTGCACTGGTGGGGTCCCTCGGCCTGATCTGTGGGGATCGACCAAAACCAGCTCTCTGACATCCCACAAGGGGTCCCAGATTGCAAGAGGGCTCAGGCCAGGCCAAGGGACCCCACCGGTGCACAATCGGGGCCAGAGAGGGACCACAGGAGGTCTCCAGGGCGTGTCCAGCCCATCTCGCCCAGTCCCAATCCACCAGACTCCAGCAGCAAGCTAATCTACCAGTCAGAGTGTCTAAGTGCTCATCATAGCGACTGGTTGAACAGTCGGACACTTAGCATAGTAGGCTTTTATTAGATAGGATATATATATATCCTATCTAATAAAAGACAAAAAGGGTAATTGACTGTACCTTCGCTACACTTCCCATTGACTAATCAGGGCAATATGCTAATTAACCACCAACAAAGACGGTGGCTGGCAGCCACGCAGCTGAAGCAAGCAGGAGGCTTGTTTGTTCCAGTGATGGAGGAAGCCAAGTTTCCCCGCCTGCCACGGCCCAGCTCTGAGCTCCAAAAGCAACAATGTTTCAATTACAGAAGCTAAACCCCAGATACCTGCTTTTAGCAGGCCGCTCTCAGCTCTAGTGATGTCAACAAAGTTTCAATTATAGAAGGTTAATAAACCCCAGAATAAAAAAGAAAAAAGAAAAAAAGGAGAGGCTGGGAGCTTTAGTCGCTGGCCAGCCTGAAAACGGCCCTCAGCCCCTCACCCAGACTTGCCAGGCACCCCAGTGGGGACCCCCACCCTAAAGGGGGTG